CGATATGCATCCTACCCAAGGATGGATGACTATCCTATTGAGGCATTCAGTGGTAAGGTTATAACCCTACAACCATCCAGACAAAAGTGTATAACAGCCACTCTTATTCTACAAGATTGTCACTGAAGTCCTAACAAACAGAATCAAGGGTGTATTGGCACTATTATCAGCTCCTCACGTCACTGAACTTGCACTCCCAAGTATTCTGTTTTGGTTCTACTCAACTTGAACACTTAAGACTCCCAAGATCAGAGCTCCAAACCTCCAACTTAGCGTTAACACTTTGACTAGGCCTTACCTCAATATATAACATGACTTTGACTGGTTAACCAACACAGTCAAACACCAAAAAAGAAAGACTGGGAATATATACAATGTAACTGGAAAGAGCCTTTGGCATCTGTAGGCAGTGCATGAAACGAGTCAAAGTGAGTTCCGATATCATGAAGGGAGGAGGCATGTTTGGCTAGACAATCCGCAACTTGATTTGCCTCTCTGAAACAATGAGAGATAGTTGCATTAACCGAGGTCCAGTTTATCCAGATTCTTATCAATAACATTCTTTAGTTTATAATTGCTAGTGAATATGTCTTGGATCATTTTCGGTGACAAATCTGTGAGTCCAACTCCAGCTCCAGATCTGTGAAGCCTAGCATGTTGCATAAGGCTTGAAGTCAGAACATTTGCCATATTGTTACTGTTGCATTTGACAGAAATAACAAAGGCACTGATGCAATATCCCATTCACCATCTCTAATGAAGTCATTGATGGCTTATGTAAGTCCACCACGAGTCAAGGGACCAGGTCCTTGACTAAAAACAGCTAAGAACAGAATGCAAACAATCAATGTAACATCAAGTAAAACATGGAAACCTTCTTGCGCAAGGAAGGAAAAATCACGACCTACCATGTAAGATTTCTTCAACAACTTCACTAAAAACACGAACAAGGCTTTAGATTACAACCTCTTGCAACCTAGGAATTAAACTCTTAATCCTTCACCCTTACAATGACTTTATTGTAAGCACTCTGTACAATAACTCCATTGTAAAGACAACAAAGGCTAACTCTAGCCGACAACACTACAACGGCTAATTAACTCTAGCCCACAACACAACAATGGCTAACTCTTGCCCAAAACTCAAATCTGTAAGATAAGAGAGAATATAAAATACCTACACAAGCTTCTCATGAGAGGTTTAAATAGATTTTTTTTAACCATCAACTCTAAATAATTTATATGTGCAAATTGACTTGAGAGAGGTAAAAATTGATGTTTTATACTAGAGCGGATACACTTGTATCAGGAAAAATATCCTTAAAAGACAAGTTTTGGTGAATTCTATATATACAAGTGTTTGTGAAGAATGTATTTTCGATAAGATTTCCGACATAGTTTAGGTAGAAAAATCACACACCTAATAGTTTAAATATAAAATTCATGAAAAAATCGAGATACTTTAAATGTGTTATTTTACCTAACTCTAAATAATTTATATGTGCAAATTGACTTGAGAAAAAGGTAAAAAGAGATATTCTTTATTGTAATTTTAGGAATGCTACATGATGAATATTGGATTAAAAAAGAAAAAAAGCAACCATAGTTGGAAATGAAGCCAAATAAATACAATTAATTTAAGAGGCAGAAAATGTCAGTAAATCTATGTGAAGCATCCTCTGGCAAACAAATGCAAACAAGCATAGCTCCATCAGAATCATCTTGTGGCAAAAAAACACAAACTTGTGGTGTTGGTGTGAGATCAATTGGGCCAGCATAAATGGGCTTTCCCCAACCAAAATCAGCAGATTCATACATTGAAAATCTAGTCCATTGGGTTATAGTAAGTTTACCACCAAATTCTAGCTTTGTAGGCCTATTAACTTGGATATAATCAATAGTTGACCTCAAATATGCCTCAGAGACCGAAAGCCTTGCATTACGTACCAAACATATGGTATCAGAGATAGGTCCATTAACGATTCCCGAGACATTACTAGTAGCACATGCCACAGATACTGCATTCCCATAGAAACCTGATTTGAGTGGTGGATTTGTAAGTCTAGATCTACAATTTACTGCAAATGTTAGCCTTAGCTCGTAATCGAGAGGGCTAACATTGATCAGTGCCTTGACCCATGACCTCCACACATGAGCTGCCATTGCATCAAAGGTGGTACATGAGATGTTAGGACCAACTAAGGTCTTCAAATGAGCTTGGAAGTGTCGAGTAACACGATAACATTTTTGAACAGGCTTGACTAAACAAAGTCTCCTCGTGAAACTAAATGCATCATCTATTCTTTTGAATTCTATGTGTGGGTATTGAATCAATGGCGGATCATTAGGGATAAGTGTCTCTCGATCCCAACATGGTTTGGGATTGACTGTCAATTTGTTCAACCTCGCGGTTGAAGCCCAAGCACTTAGGAATTGCATTGCTCCAACCCCATCACAAAGACAATGACAAACTCTCAAACCAAGACTAAATCCACCACAGCTAAAACGTGTTACTTGTGCTATTAGCAATGGCATATCAATAACTTTATATTGTTCTTCATTTGGGAATGTGTAAACCAAGTTTTTCCATGCAGGATTTGGGACTGTTAAATCACCAAGATTTAGTATCGTCATCTCTGAACAAGCCTCAACTAGAAGCACACCTTGTTTAGGCCCAAAAAATACTTCTAACTTCCCCTCCTTTGTTTCGCGCAACCTACCTGAGAAAGGATAGTATGGTACCAATACACTTGCAAGAGATTCTTTTAACACATTGATGATCGTCATCACATCCATTTTCCCATTGGATCGATAGAAATACATGGTTGGAGTAAAAACGCGTGATCCAATCATATCATCAAGATTTGAGAGGTAAAGGGTGTCACCATAGGATGGAGGGATAGGACTTGATGGTAAGATTGGAGAAATTGAATTGATGGTTAGAGGTATTTGAAGTTGAGGAAAATTAAGTTCTTGTACCATGGGAGTCATGATGAGATTGATTACCTTTTACTACTTTAATTCATCACATCTTTGGTTCGATTGGAGACACTAAAATATCCCAAAATTATTGCCAAGAAAACTTGCAAAGTTAAAAGACTATGAAGAGTTAAAGTAGGTAAGGAGCAAGTAGAAAGTAAAACTATTTAAACTTTAATTTGGATTCTCAATTTTAAGACACCATCTTTGGTTTCTTTTAACTGATATCATGATTCAATATAGCAACTTCACATTATTTATTGTTACCTCATTTCATCCACATAAGAGAACCAACTTTGTTTGGATGGTTGTTACCTATTGTATGGTATATTTTACTTATTATATGCAGAGGCGGAGTTAGCAGTTCAGGTATGGGTTCAGTCAAACTCAGTAACTTTTGTTCAAATAGTATATTTGTATTAAGACATATTAAATATGTATATATATTAAATTTAGAGCCCAGTTAATAGCATTTGAAATCGTCGTTATAAAATTCAAAACTCATAAGATTAAAATTATAGTTTAGCCTCTGATTATATGTTTGTTCTAGTTGTTATTTAAATTTTATCATCTTCTATCACTAAATTCATCATTATGTAGTCATAAAAAAATTCATTTTATGCCATGACTGATTTTCTGTGGTCCATCGTTACATTTTTTTTTAAAAAAGTTATTTTTGAAGTATTTAATAATCATTTAATACAAAGTAAGAAAAGTAAAACTTGGAAAATTCTTAAAGTTCGTTGGTTTCTATTATTTTTTTTTATAACGTATTCCCTCGACCTTGGACTGTCTCTCTCTGTCAATTTTTCCTCCTTTGATTTTTGTATTATTTTTTGTAGTGTTCCATGTGACGTTCAATTAACTAAAAATGTAATTTTAGGTTTTATCTTATAGAAAATATATTATATTTGACTATTTATATTATGGTAATATTGTCAAATTTGAAGTAACTAGTTTCACGGTTGCACGTCTGTATCGTATCATCAATGTTGTAAAATAGAATTAGCATTACTAAATCAAAGTATTTTCATAAATAATTATAATTGAAAGACCATATGACAAGTGTTTTTAAATGATTAATACAAATTGTCATAGAGTTACTTATTTTTTGAGATCAAAATGATCAAATATCATTGAAACATTTCAAAATACATTCAAAGTTAAAATACTATGAGAAAGTGATATTTCTTTAGTAGTATTGTTTTTTACTTCACTCAATTTGTAAACAAATTTAACCAATAAAATAGCAAAAAAATATCTATATAAAGAAAGCTCATCAATAGCCTTTCATCTTGAGGTTATGACCATAAATGATGGACACCTTTTTAAGTACAATTTCTCTTAAATATTCATACTTGAAATTTAGTATGTGCATGACACTAATAAAGATTACTATGATATTTCAATATTTTATCTTTATACATAATATATCTTTTATAAAATATTATTACTCAATTAATATTTGAGTAAGACTATCATAGAGAGGTGATTTTACAAAAAAAATGTACTTTTATAGTGAATGTTAACATTGTTGTAAGTAGAATGTTATAGAGATAAAAAATATAACATCAAAAATTAGTTCTAAAGAAAATTAGGCCGTTATAGTAAAATATTGTTATAACGAATGATGGTTAAATAGAGGTTTGAATGTATATCAAATATTTAGCTTGACTAATTCTTTGTTTATATAATTAACTAATCAATTAAATAGTAAAAGATGTTGTCTATGCATTGAATTAAGTAATTAAAGAAGTACAAAATTATAGATTTATTTAATAAATAATACTTATTGAATTAACATATTAGTAACTTAATTAAGATTAATAAATAAATTTTAATTTAAAAATGAATTATTATATGATTAAAGCGAGTCAATCAGGCTTTTATCATACTTTTATCGAGCTAAATTTTGATAAAAATCAATTTGAGCTAAATCATTTTTTTTTGAGCTAACTATCTCTTGTTTTATCAGTTTTCTGTCCAAAATAAAAATCAGAACCCTAAAAAATAGGGAGAAAAATGCCGAATGCAGAGAAAAAACTGGAAGCATCTTCTACTGGACCACCACCGCCATCGCCGCCGTGGGTTGAGCTTCCGGCGGAAATCACGATGGACATTCTGCAGCGGCTAGGGACGATAGAGATATTGGAGAGTGCGCAGAGGGTTTGTAGTACCTGGCGGAAGGTGTGCCATGACCCCGCTATGTGGCGTGTTATTGACTTGAAACGTTTCGTTTTTAGATCCAAAGTGGCCAAGGTGTTGGAGAAGATATGCCGTCTTGCTGTGCGTCGTAGCCAAGGCCAGTTATTCAAAATTAGCATAGAGAATTTTGGTAATGAACGCTTGCTCAGCTACATTGCTTCGAGGTACTGATCACTCTCTTGCTTTCCTAATAATTAAGCTTAAGATTTGGTCAGAATGTGATTGTCTTCTCAGATTTGGGCTATTAATGTGCTCAATTGCTTGTCCTTTAACATAAAGTCAAAACCTTTTGTTGAGAGGAATTGGGGGGGGGGGGGGACTTGCATTCGGACTAGGATTTCATATTGAACTCCAAATATACGCTATTGGGATGCATTTGAGTTGATGAACTAATCCAGATAATGTTATATGAATGAAAGAAAACAACTTCTGAATTTGCTGTAAAAAAGAATTTACATATTTGAAGCTAGGCTAAGCTACTATAGGGAGAAATTTAGAGAACCAATGGCGGGATTAGGACCGCCAGGGTTAAGGAATTTGATTTATGTAGGGGATTGCGATGTGACATAGTTTAGAGAGTTGGATGAGAAATGGAAGAGAGCCTCTAGCATTAAAGACCCCAGGTTATTGAATACTGACATTGTTCAATTGGAGCAAAATGAAATGTTTAGAAATAGATAAAGTACTCTGATGCATAAACTTACATAATAAAATATAATTGCAATGTTTATACTCACAAACAGTGTAAGTGCCAAACAAATTGTAAGAGAGTGAGTGGACTATGGCTCTCTTTATCTTTGCATAATTTCGTTTCTCTAAAATGGTTAGCATTTGGTAGAGATCTGATTATCCTTTTAATACTATTGGGGGTAAATAATCTGCTCGATTGTGCACACTAGAAGCACACTTCCAGGATGACCATTTAGGCATATAAAGACACCAGACATATTATGTGTTATACTATTTTCTGTTTATCCTTCTATTATAGTATCTTTATACTGCTATTACTTTTTGATTGGAAGGGCATTGTTTTCTTTGCACATTAATGTGCTAACTAATCAGAATTTTTCACATTACGTATTGTGTGTATTATTTTGGGTGATGCTATGCCACGGATCCTGTTTATGTCCAACGGGATAGTAATGGGGTGTCTTCTCTTTTGTTTTGCTACCGTGAAGGAGAATCAAGAAATAATGATTTAGCAATTTTTAGGAAGTAAAGTAGGAATGGAATAATGCTGTATGAAGTGGAAGCCTGTAACTATGTTAGGAGTTCAGATGAAGTCATAACTTTTGCTTTTAAATACCAAGAACTAGAGGAGGATCTACCTTATAGGGTGGGGATGCCATGCTTTGGCTAAAGTTCTGAATTTGTAAGTTGATATCCGGGATAAGTTTACATACCTGAAGTGGCACCAACAATACATAGATGATATGTGGGTGGATTGGTTAAGCTTTTAAGATATTTTAGTTGTTATCGTATCCGAGTTCAATTTCCCATGGAAACATTTTTTTCATGAGTGTTGCCAGTTTCTGTGTTTTCTTCTTCTTACTTGTGTTCTTTTATTTCTGCATTGAGTGCTCAAAACCCTCAAATCTCTTTTTCTCCTTTTCTTCCCTTTTTCCTTTTATTTGCTAAATATATCTAATATGCGTTAGAAAGGTCAATCCCTCCCCTACGACACCAAAAAAACCGGGCCAAACTTCTCTCTCCCCCATCCGTATCAAAACTTGTTTACGTCAATGTTCATTTTGTTTCTGCCACTATACCTTGCTTCATTAACACTTTTTCCGGTGAGTGTAATTCTAGCAGTATCTTTTGTTGGCTTTACAAGACAATTTTGAGTTGATCACAGTTGGTATGTTGTATGTTAAGTTGTTGAGTTAATTCTCTTAGATTGAAACTTTTGCTTTGCAAAGAATTACTAAAAAAATTGACAATTAAGATGGAAAATTAACCTGGAGAACATTGAAGGAAGTTAATCAAGCCAAAGAAAGAATTATTAGTAATTACGTTACTTTTTAAGCAATTTTTTTAATTGAAGATGCTCTTTCGTGATTTTTTCTTTTGGAATTTTTTCTAGAATAAAATTTAAATTAAACGTGAAATTCTCAAATCTGGGCCCATGTTCTACTCCTTTGAGGTGTTATTGCTGTCCTTTTCCTTATAGTCTTCTTGTAATTGCTCATTTCTTTTTGTTGCCACCTCTGAGATAGGAGTTCTCTTAAATTAATCAATTTGCTTGTCTTTTTAACAGATCATGCCAGCTCAGACATCTTCGACTTGTTAAGTGTTATAATCGGTTATCTGGGGGTTTGGCTTCAGCTGCGAAGAACTTCCCATTTTTGGAGGAGTTGCATATTTACTTCACCTCCATTACTAAAGATGATATAGAAATTGTTGGCCGCTCTTGCCGTTTGCTCAAGTCTTTTGTATTGCATGCCGGTCCATTTGATAAAGTTAGAACTCCACCATCACAAGACAATGATAAAGCTGTAGCCATTGCCAGATGTATGCCTGGATTGCGGCATCTTGCCCTTATTGAAAATAACTTGACAAATGAAGGACTTCAGGCCATTCTTGATGGCTGTCCACACCTTGAATCACTTGACTTGCGCTGCTGCTGTTTTATCGATCTTGAAGGGGATTTAGGAAGAAGGTGTAGCCAACAGATTGTAGATCTAAAGCAGCCTCGTGACTCCACTTGCGATTATGAATTTGATTGTAAAATTAGGCATTACCGGTCTTTTGAGGATTACTGCCGATCTAGGTTCTCCAACTACAATCCTTTCATCGTCGGGGACATTCATGAGTATGATTATTATTTTTGACTCCATGTAGCAGCGAGTACGTCGATGAAGCTGGGATCTTTTATTGTTGTCATGTTCAAAATGAAACTTTGCTGATGGCAAGAACCCAAATTATCAGTGGCATTACTTAGACCATGAAACTGTAAGGTCCTCTCAAGCAGTGAGAGGAGCCAGGGTTGAAGAATGTGTATTTATTGGGAGAGTGGGGTTTGTTTAGCAAGCAGTCTTATTGCTTGAAAGCACACAGAACACACAATAGGAGAGTTTGACTGTGAAAGCAGTCTACTCATGCCCCGCGGACCAATTTACGATGTCTTTGTCGCTGATGTTCGTCAAGCAGGCTACATGGATTGGCCAGGGTCTTCTTCGGCTAATAACTCCTCGATCTTAAAGCCTTCGAAGTATCTTTTTGATAGGTGCCTCTATTTGTATGGGGAATTTGCTGCTGAAAGATCTCCCTAGTTCCCCCCTCCTTCCCCTGCTGCCTTTCGACCCGCAGGAGTATACATTTACGATGTCCTTGTCACTGATGTTTGTCAAGCAGGCCACGTGGATTGGCCAGGGTCGTCTTCGGCCAATGAGAACTATCTAAAGGAAGGGTACGGAGTTGATCCTCACACCAAACTCTTAAGCGCTAGTTGACCCTTCTCGGTCTCTTGAAGCCGGGAGGAACTTCCAGATGAAACTATTTCCGAGTTTTGGATGCTTGCTAAATTTGCTTCTGATCTCGATAAAGCTACTCAGAATCATCTCAATCCCGAAGCCTTTGAAGTATCTTTTGGTAGGTGCCTTTATTTGTATGTGTAATTCACTTCTGATAGATCTTGCCTAGTGTCCCCTCCTTCCCCTGCCCCCTTTTGACCCGGGGGTATACAATGACAATGTCGGGGCATGAGTGCCGTATTAAAGGAATATCTGAGGGGGAGAGAAAAAAAACTAATAATTGCTGTCAGTGTAAATTACTATTGTCAGTTGAAGGTATATAATAATATGGTTTGTTTTTGTCAGCTGAAGGTATATAATTATATGGTTTGTTTTTGTCAGCTGAAGGTAATATTGCATGGTTATAGAACACAAAACTAAGTTTTTCCATTTCTGTTTGTGAAAACTAAGATTGAAATTCTAGCCTAATGGAAAAATTAAAAGAAATTGAATGAAGGGAATCAAAACAAAAATCAATTGTACCAGAAAATGATCTTCAAGAACACAGATGTTTATATCATTATATATAGTTGGAATCATGGTATGAATAGATATACCATTGTCATTGCTGTTTAGATTTGGTGTTTCTTTGATACAGAAGAGAAAAAGAACAAATTACAAATTACAAATTACTAGTACTGATAAGTGGCAACAAAGACAGAATGCTTATATAAATCCTTATATATAGGTATACAATGCACTAATCAGTTGAATAGAAACATACAAGGAAGTAATCCAATCCTGAGCTTGTGAGGTCGACTCACCAAGAAAGTGAAAAGATACAATCATGAGGTTGTGAGGTCGATTCACTGAGGTCGATTCACCAAGGAAGTGAAAAGATAGGAGCTCCTAAGGAGGCAAAAAAAAAAAGGAAATCATTAATCCGAGTAGAACGTTCTCCCATGATCCCTTCGAGGATAACAAGAAGTATCCTTGCTATCTAGTTTATGCAGAAAAAAAGGAGAAGGGAAGGATTGAACTAGTAAATATAATCCAAATCAGTTGCAAATAGCTATTGCTATAGAGTTATAAATCATTTTTCGATCTTCAAAAATATCATTAGAAAGCTCACCAAGGATGCTTCATATGAAATAAGATATAAGGTTTAATATCTTCCAACACAAGCTAGGAACAAGAGTCCTTAACATAAAAGGGATAAAAATACTTAAAAGAGCAAAGATCTATTCCTTCCCAAAGAAAACAAGCTTTCATGGTAAATTCCAAAATCATGTATTGGAATATTTTTCACTCTTCTAAAGTTGTTTCTTTTGAAGTTGTAGAAGACGACCTCGTCCCCAAATATCAAAATTATTTCTTCATTCCATGTCCCAAAGGTAGACATACGTTTCCCGCACCTAAAGTTAACCAAATCGATGCTATACTCCTTCACCCAAATACAATTGATTTTATCCACAGGTCTAGAATTAAATTCTCGCGAAAGTGATCTTGGTTTGCGAGGCAAAACATCCCTTTCAGATCCAACATCTTCAGGCTAGAAAAAGTCTCAAAAGATGATGGATGAGATATAGTAAGAAACTTGTCATTTTCAAAGTCAATTCTACCAGGTTTGGCATCAAGACATAGTCCAACCAACCAATACACACATTCATTTACAAACAACACTGTCAAGTTCGCATGATATGAATAAGGAAACTCAACAATTTCTTTCCATCTACTATTAGAAATCCCACCAACATCATTTATCGTAAACACCTCACATCTTAGTTGTGGCAACTGAGGATTCTTATAGAAAAAATGAACCACTTTGTATTCCTTCTTTGAATGTATATATCCAAACCCAAAATACCGACTTTGACTATGTGTAGGGATACGAGTAAGTGAACATTTTGGCAATTCACACACTTGTTGCATGGCAGGATTACACAAAAAAACACGACAATCTCTTGTTGAAATGCAAACCAAACCATAGCAGATCACAAGTCGATTGCACCAATTGTATAATTCATTTCTTTCTCCATCCTCTACTTCGGTGTCTACTGAAACAAATCGTACTATACTCCTTCTTTCCCTTAATAATCTGCGATCCACAATAAGAAGTTGGGGGAGCATTTTCCATTGATTGTTTGAGGTGGTGAGAATAGAAGGATTAATAATAAGGTCATTCCATTACTTGGATACACACCTTAACATGGATAATGTCTTCACAGGACATCTAACAAAAATAGAGATGATATCATCATCAGTCAACCTATCAAACTCACTATTTGCAATGTTCCCATTGCAACTTATTGATGTTGTCATCTTCTTTTTTTAGGCTGCATTTTCGCAAAAAGAAGAAGAAGAAGAAGTTAGACACTAGAGAAAATATTTGCATCACAACATATGTTTCATACAAAATGAGATTTAATTTGTAACATTTTTGTATAAACAAATTACTCTTTTCAATAATATTCAAGGCGTACAGGATCATTTGTTTATGTGAGTGTAGATTTGGACAGCTAAGGCTGAGAACACATGAATTTAACAATAACAAGTCTAATCCCACAAGTGAAATTTAGAGAGGGAAGAATATCACTACAACAAAAGAAACATATAGTGCGAAGGATATTTCTTTTAGCAGCAATTGAGTTAATGTTATTACATTCAGAGTAGTTAAAGTTTTTAGCGACATTTATATAGAGTGTTGGTTATAAATACCATATTTATTATTACCACTAAATATAATATAGCATCAATTATATTATTGCTGCAAAATCTTTATTTGTTGTAGTGTATATAGATATCTTACCCCAACCTTTCTGCGGTATACATGTTGTTTCTGATAGACCCTTAGCTCAAAGAACATGATTGTAAGAATAATATGACAACAAGATGGGAAGAAACATAGTAAATTTGAGGCATATGCACAGGGGCGGACCCACGTGGATTCACCTGAACCCCCTCGGCAAAAAATTACACGGTATATACAAGGTAAATTTTGTGTATTTTGTAGATATATATATTTTGAATCCACTAAATAACAAAGAGAAATTGATGGCGTAGTTGTATCAATGGTTTAAATCCCTGTGAAAGCATTTTATCTTTTTCTTTTTTAGTTTCAGTTTTTTTTTTATTTTCAGTTCTGTTTTTCAATTTTTTTGAAGTTTTTTTTACTTTAAAAAACGTGCTAAAAGTGTGGTTTTAAACCCAAAAGATTCAAGGTTCCCATTTCTAAAGACATATTTACACGTTTATACTTTTATTTTTCGAACACCCTAAACAAAAATCCTGGATCCGCCACTGCATATGCATGTTTGGTGATCATTCCTTTAATGATAAGGTGTAATATTATTCCTTGTTATCAAGAGGGAATTTAGTAGAGAAATCAAAATCAAATACCAACTCTGATTCCATTATGAATATAAAACAAACTATGATAATTCACTAGTTCGGAGACTTACAAGTTTTCTCCTTTCGGAAGCAGATCATCTGCAGTAACCACGACTCAAATTACTGATCCAGAAATTCTCACATGGGGAGGGATGCCTAGTTCCACGACTTAATTATCCTCAACTATCAATATATATAGAGAATCTCCCTAACCCTAGCCGTTCACTAGGCAGTTTAGAATATGTTTTTCAACACCCGTAATGGTGTTTATATAGACAATATTAGGGTGTAAGGTTAAATTAACTAATGGGCCATCTCACTTAGCTAACATCCGTATGGGTTCATTAGCCCCAAAAGATGCTTTTACTAACACATACAATGTTTTGCGGAAAAATTAGCTAACTAGTCAAAATTCCTAACATAATTATTAAAAACATCTACACTTTAAAATAATTATTAAAAATGTCACTATGTCAATATTTTAAAAAATATAATGTATCCTAGTTTAGTTCCTAATTTATCTCACATTAATCACACGTTCTCTCTCATATATTGTTTTTATAGCAAATTATATATTTATAATTATCCTCCTAAAATACATCATATTGTCACTCCTCATCAACTCCACTTTCTCTCTCTCTATTAATTATTTTTATTCCCCTTCTCTGCTTCCAGATTCTTTCTCTTCTTCTTCTTTTTCAAAATGGAATAAAATCAAACAAAATGTTTGCATCATATTCTCATTCAATCGGATAACTTCCTTTGGATTTGTATTAATTGGGTTAATATCAGAAGTTTTTAGTTTTGATTTGTATTTTTTTTGGCCGTTTATGTATTTTTGTGTTTCAATTTATTCAACTTCAGAATCGTTTATTTAGTAAATTTTCTTTTGAGTATGATTTTTTTAAGTAAACCTCGTTACGATTTAGGGTAGGTTTTGTATTTTGGTGTTTACATTTCTCCAATTTCAGTTAATATTTAATTTATTTAATTTCATACTTAATTTGTGTTCATATTAGTATTGTCAATTTTATTTTACATATGTCAATTGTATTTTCATAATATTGTATTTATTAATTAAATGAAATTATAGACGACTAAAATGATATATATTCTTACTTAAATTGTATTCATATTAGTATATATGTTGTATTATTTATATTTTAATTATATTTTTCAGCAATATTATATTTATTTAAACATATTATTGATCTTGAAGGGGATTTAGGAAGAAGATGCAGACAACAGATTGTAGATCTAAAGCAACCTCATGCTTCCACTCATGATTAAGAATTTGATTTTGAAGTTTCACATTACTGGTCCTCTGATGATGACTACACATCATCAAGGTTCTCCTATAAGTGTCATGATTATGATAAATTCTTCCAGACTAACTTCCTTGGCTTCAGAGACTATCATGAATACAGTGATGATGATTACTTTTGACATTGTATGACTATTGACTCCACTAACATATGTTTCAATAAGTATGAAGATGAAAATTGGTAACTTATAGTGATGTCATGGTCAAACTGAAATTTACTAATGGTAAAAACCCAGCATTTTAGTACCAGAGTTATTTCATCTTTTTTTTCCTTTTTGTGTTTATTGCTGGGAATGTGGAAGAAGACAAAAGGGCTTTTGTTTCAGAACATTAGTACTAGTGGCGTTTGCATTTGTTTTTTCAAATATTATCTACTTCCTTTAAGTGTCTTCAATTATGCTCATATGTTTGGATTTTTCTCCCTCACTTTATGTCCTCATGTAGTGAAAGTTTTGGTGATGCCGTGATTAAACAATAGTGATAGGACCATATATTTTGTTATTAAAAGACACAATCTTTGGACATTATATTTGTGAGAAATGTGGGAGTTTGATGTCTTGTAAATTTTATGTCAAACAATTTTTTGTTATGTCTCTTTGTGTTACAATATATAGCCAAGTCATTATATGTCAAGTGTTTTAGTTCCTAGCAGATACATGTAGGTATTGATGAAATAGGTTGAGACATGGAAGAAAACAAGTTTAAAAATTAGAAAATGTAATTTTGGGTTTAACTCAATGACTGCTGCAAGTGTACATTTTGGGTTTTCCTATTCTTTTTCCTCTTGGCTAGATAAACCAAAACCCTCAGGGCATTGGATGCATTGAATTCTGAGCCAAACCATTGCTAGAGGTGATGTGAATAATATTGCCCCAATCTGTCATTATGTACAACTATGTCACATTAATTTTTTAGGTCATAATCACTTCTTGGTGGTTCTCTTTCTGTCACTAGACACTTTATTTATTAGTGATAAACGCATGAGGCTTTACATCTTTTTTATTTGAAGTAAACGTTTGTTCAATTTAGCAGCATTTTGATCTTCAAAGTTAAAGGAAAATAATTTAATCGAAGTTAAACAAAATATGATTACCGATTTACCATATCGTAGAATACAAAAATCGAACTTTAAAATACTGAACCATACTGAATTAAATTGGTATGATAATGATATAATATTTTAAAAATTGATTACCAAAGTTACAATATCAAATCTTTCAAATACCGTACCATACCATACCATGTCCACCCTACAGAGGACAATGACCTTTAACCATAAAATTATTTTTGTGGTGAAGACTGCAAATCATTTTTTTTTCTTTCAAATTAGAAAAAAAATCTTGATAGTGAGCAGTGTTTTAAAAGGTGTGGGTGGGGCGAGGCGCTTTATACAGTCAAGGGCGAGGCGTAAGCCCCAAGACACGGGACGTAAGTCCCATGGATTTACGGGGCGTAATCTCATGTATATTCAATTTTATAGTTTTATTACTAATAAAATAAATAAAAATAAATCTTTCAATGATTTATGATTTTTATTTGAGATAAGTATTAATAATTAATAATGAAGAAAAAAGTATTATAATTACAAAAAAAGAAGAAAAACGTTTTAGTTCCTTCTTAAAAGAATGTGCATTCACATTTTCTGCATGAAACTATCAGTTTTCCTTTAAATTGGACAAATGAGCAAAGTTTCCAAGTTTTAATTAACAAGTCTTTTCACCTTCCCCCAATCCCCGTTAAAAGGGAAAAAGGCATGAGGACCCCAAAGGAACTTGTACCTTATTTCTAGAAAGTATAATATATAGATACGTCATTTAATTTTACTTTAATTGATATTTATGCTTTTTACTTTTGAGTGAACATAATAGACATTTAAATTTGTATCATGTACATCTGACACCACCTAGGACACAAAATTTTCATATAGAACATCATGTATATATAATTAAGTTAAGTCTCCACAACACAAAATATATAATTCAGACTTCCAAATATATTTTTTTGGTCTTAGTAAGATACAATAATTAGATTTTGTCCTTAAAGAAAATAAAATAAAATATAATAAGTCATGTCATTATGCTAAAATATAATACAGTACTGTCTCTAATACTCCTAATGAAAACCTATAGAACAAGTATTATTAATAAGGGATGACGAAAATGAATCTGATTTAATATAACCTTTATTTGATTTACTAGATATTTATGAGACTTGGTGGCTTTTTTTATGTTAATAGAAAAATTAGAGATAATTTGAGTAAACTGGAATATTACTTATGAAATATTCAAATTGATGTTCAAAAAGGGGGAGATTAAGCAATTGAGACAATTTTAGAATAGATTTGTGATAATGTATTATGCGATTTTATAAATTTTTGTTTATTTGGTAAGATTGTATAAATAATTGAGATAATTTTATAACTTATGAGGTTCTTATGTTAATGAAAAATATACAACATAAAAAGTTTAAATTGCATATTCAAACAAAACTTTAACTTCATCTTATGATTTTATATCGCATGGCCAAACACGCCACACCCTATAGATAAAAGATATGGTCCAATAGCAAAAACACTAGTATTATTTTTGTCTCTCTAAAAATTGTTTTAGCTTTTGGATAAGAGTCTTTGGTTTATAAAATTTTGGATTATATAATTCAGGAAATACTTTTTAGTTTTTACTGATAGTTATGCCACTTTTCTAAACATAATCTTTGCAAAATTTGAACTAAAACAAACAAACAAAACTAATGAACATTTTCGTCAATTTATTTAAATAAAACAATGGAAATAATTCATAATATATAAATCTATACATACCCACTGAATGCAGCTAATACGTTAATTTATTAAATTATAAATTAAAAAGTAATATAATCACAATAATTAATAAATTGAAATATTTAAAAAACATATAGGGGAATTCTAGTAAAAAAAAAAATAGATTGGCTCTCGAAATTCCAAGTGTGTTTCATAAATTGGGATGGAAAAAATACTTTCTCCGTTTACTTTTACTTATCACTTATTTCTAAAATAAATTTTCATTTTTACTTGTTACTTACATATTTTTGACATATCAAGAAAAAACAATTATTTTTTCTATATTTTACCCCTAGTATTAAATGCTAATCTCTATACATTTACCCAAACTCAATACTAAACATTAAAAATAGGAATAATGTGGTAAAATACATATATGAATAATTATTTCTGAGTGTGTCAAGTAATGAGAAATAAAATTGAATAGAAAGAGTATAAATTAAAGGAATAAAAAAAAATGTAAATAAATGGCGGGAATAATACAATGTAAATTAGTGACACCAGCCGATGTTTATGGGAAATGAGCCTAGTGGAATTTGAAGAGTTTTGGTGACGCTTCGACTTCTTCAGTTCCTTTTTTTTGCTTTGTCTATAAAATCAGAACCCTAAGGGAAATTTCTAGTAGTGAAGCAAAATGATGAAAGTTCACAAAAAGTTGAAAGCTTCCTCAATTGCACCACCACCGCCATCACCGCAGTGGGTTGAGCTTCCGGCGGAAATCACGATGGACATTCTGCAGCGTCTGGGAACGATAGAGATAGTGGAGAGTGTGCAGCGGGTTTGTAGTACCTGGTGGAAGGTGTGTCATGATCCCGCTATGTGGCGTGTTGTTTACTTGAAATTTCAACCTGATATTCACCGGAGTAGGTATCGGATGTTGGAGAAGATATGTCGGATTGCGGTGGATCGTAGCCAGGGCCAATTACTCAAAATTAGCATTGAAAATTTTGGTAGCGAAGACTTGCTCAACTACGTTGCTGAGAGGTATTCTTTCATGTTCAAATTTAATGTTATTAAGAATTTTATTTAGCTAAAGTCATCCCCTTGGAGATACGAGGAAATATGTGTGCTAGTCTTTTATCTATATCAAAATAACTTATCTTACTTTTTGTTGAACTTTGGTCTACTTAGGGTTCATTTTTGTTCAACTGTCTAGATCACATCCCTAGGGGTGTGTCATGTGTGACCCTTTTCTAAGCCTTGCTAATGCGGAATGCTTTATGCATTAGACTGCCCAATGTTTTCTAGTAAAATTCTGAAATCTGGGCCCTTGTTATATTTGTGGTTTAACAACTCTTAGAGGTGTAATGTCTGTCCTTTTCCTTGTGGTGTTGATGTCATTACTCATTTCTTTTAGTTTTGTTAAATCTTTCCAACAGATCAAGTCAGCTCAGACATCTCCGACTTGTCAAGTGTGGTAACGTTGCTGGAAGTTTGACTGTAGCTGCCAAGAACTTCCCGTTGTTGGAGGAGCTGCACACTCACTTGACCTTAATTACTGAAGAGGATATAGAAAGTGTTGGTCGTTATTGCCCTTTGCTTAAGTCATTTACATTGAATGCCAGTAAATGTACTACAATTGAATATTCACTATCTCCTGATGATGGTCAAGCGTTAGCTATTGCTAAAAGTATGCCTGAATTGCGGCACCTTGCCCTAATTTTGAATCCCTTGACAGATGTTGGACTTCAAGCTATTCTTGATGGTTGTCCACACCTTGTATCGCTTGACTTGCGTCGCTGTAATATTGACCTTGAAGGGGATTTAGGAACAAGATGCAGGCAACAGATTGTAGATCTAAAGCAACCTCGTGCTTCATGTCAAGATTATGAATTTGATTCTGAAGTTTGTTATTACATTTATTACTCGTCCTCTGATGACTATGAAGATGATTATGATATTTGGTTATATAGGTAGAGGTTGTGTCAAAGTAGAAAGATCTGATTTGCACATCAGACATGTTCTTAGTTAAAATACTTTGTACTACCCAAGTTTTCATCAAGCTCTAAAAGAAACCCTATTTCAAGGGGACTAGAAGTAGGCATCACATAGTTATTCCAAACTACGTCTTCCTTGAAGCAGAATCTGATGCATATTCTTTGCTGGTCTTCTTTGATCTGCTTGTTATCTTCCATAATTACTATAGTTGTCATCTTCCATAATTAGGTTGATTTGCTTGTTGTCCTGAATGATTGTCTGGTATTTTTTTCCTTCTTGAATTGATGATCGATTGAGTCAATCTATTTCCATGGTTGATGTAGATTGTGAGTCAATCTATCTCCTTAGTGGTGCAAATTGGCTTGTGTTACACAGCCTTCACAAAGTATAACTCAACAACTTTGGACAAGAATGGAGTCCAAAGCTCCACAAAAAAGAACACCTCCCTTCAACTAATAAGAACTCTCTTTTTGACAAACTTTTTACTCTCTATATTTTTCCTATGTGTTGTGTAACAAACCAAATGAAGACCACCACTATTGATTCCATGCGATACAAATTTAGCTTGTCATTATTCAGAATATCATAAGTTAACAATCTCTTCCTTTTTATAATGACAAATATAACTAATACGAGTTTAATTTGACTTCACAGTTCGATGTATCTTAGGCTGACTGACTTTCGTATGCTCCCCCTCTGTATACTGTGTCCAGATTCTCCCTCTTTGACATAATCAAAAAGGAAAATAGAAAAAAAAAATTAACAAGCAAGATAGGCAAAAGTAAAATATACAAGCAAGGAGTATGGGGATAGAAACTCCGAAATTACAGTCCAAAAGAAATGAAGACATATCTCCACAAACCAATTGTCTTAGCAAACGAGAAAAGGAAACCATAGTCTTAATGATCATCGAGAAAATACTATAGGGTATTGAGCACATTCTTGCAGAAGGTGTTAAGAGAGCGCTCAACAGTCTTAAAAAAAGTAGAGTAAGAGGTGTGCATTGACACAACCAACTCGACATGGGCAGAGTCGGCTCTAATTTTGATGGAGTTGACTTCTTTGAGAATCGTATTGACCGAGCGAACGCCATCCTTCTTAAGTCCTTCTACCTTAGAAGGAGCTTCCCAACATCAGTGCTAGAGTTCTTGTGTAGCTGAAGAACCCTTCCAAGGGTGTCCTGCGAACCCTGCAAACCCTGCATGTGAGATACCAGTCCATCTAATACCTTAATGTGTTCTGCCTCTTTGAGAAGCAAAGCGAAAAAAGTATTAACTTTTGAACAAGGGGGAAATGGCGTATTGAGATATCAAGGTAGAATGTGTGTACCAAGGATAGATGAACTCCAAGAGAGGATCATGGAGAAAGCTCGTAGCTCCAGATATTCTATCTATCCGAGCTCCACAAAGATGTATCACAATTTGAGAGAGGTTTATTGGTGGAGTAGTATGAAGAAGGGCATCACAAAATTTGTTGGTAAGTGTCCGAATTGCCAACAAGTTAAAGTAGAGCACCAAAGGCCTGGTGGTATGGCTCAGAATATAGAACTTTTCGAATGGAAGTGGGAGATGATCAATATGGACTTCATCACATGTTTACCAAGGTCCGGCAGAGGCAGCTCTAGCAACAATATTTTATAGGCATAATACATAAATGTGCCCAAAGTTGGAGGGCATTAATGTCAGCCGAGGCCAAGTAAAAAGGTATGTTTATGTATTATGCCATATAAAAAAGGTGTTATCTTTTTGAATCAGCCCAAAAGAAAAGAGTCATATATTTTTATTTATTTATTTTTTATTTTATTTTATTTTTATCATGAGAAGAAATGTTAATTTCACCCCGGATATTCCAAGAAGTCAAGAATTTTGCACATTTTATCTTGGCCAAAAGGAAAATTTTATAATAACACTACACTTCTTTAATATTCTTTTTCAAAATTGGACGTAGGTAAAGGGAAAATGTGGGGAGAGGCTTACAAGGTGGGGAACCCTCATCAACAAGGTGAAAGTTCATGTAGACAATAATAACACTACATAGTCATTACATTCATAACAGAAAATATTTCCTATATTACTTATCACCGCAGATACCTTAAGAACTGAGTGTTATCAAAGTAATCACCTGACCCCATAGACAATGAGTTATTTAGTTCAAACAACTTCAACCGTGGACAAGAGCGTCCAAGATCTTCAATGCCTTCTATCGTGATGGTTGTGTGTGTCAAACTCAGCTCCTCTAACAATGGGAGTTTTTGAACTACTTCAACCAAGCTCTCACATACCATACCATAGCAACATGCAATGCTAAGTCTTTTCAGTTTTCCTGATCTAGTGGACAAAAGCATACATGAATTAAAGGACAGATTACCAACCACAATCCCTAATAAATTACCTTTCAGCTATGTACTCAAGCAACTGAGCAGTGGCAAAGTACTGCAAATTGATATCAACGACTTCACCTTGGCTGCGATCAACGGCATAGCGGCACATTACCTCTAAGTCGTAATCCATGTCAGAGAGGTCTCCGAGGTTCCACATGTCAATGACTCGCCACATTCTTACACACTCGCCTCCACTTACTGCACACTTTCTCAGCTGTCTCCAGTATCTCTACAGCACCAAGCCTGTGTAGTATATTCGCCCATATACCTTCGGGAAGCTCCATCCATGGCGGCCTTTTCACCTCCGACTGACTGTTGCTTTTACCTTTTACTTTTCCCTTTCCCTTTCTGTTCATTGTATATTTCTAGGGTTAAAATAAATGAACAAATTATGTTATAAATACATTGGATTATAGATATTCATTACAAAGTTTGTGAAATCAAGTAGACAACTTACGAGAAAAATTAAGTAGACAACTTATATAAGTAGCTTAAGTAGATATTTGCCTTGCAGTAGATATTTATTGTTGCTTCGCCTTACATTAGATATTCATTACACAATTTGTGGATAAATGTGAAATCAAAATGCAAAATGTCGGCGGCACGGCCCCACATCGAGGACAGAGAGGATAACTTGGAAAGATATGTCATAAAGTTGTCGATTGTATCCACGATCAATTAATTGATATCAGTATTGAGTACTTTGGTAGCAACAATTTGCTCAATTATATCACTGAAAGGTTCCATCTTTCAACCCTAATTTCATGGCTTATTGTTGTTAAGTCTTTGCATGTGTTTAGTTTAGAAGTCGATATCAAATACGGATGTGTATGAGTATTATCTGGTCTTTTTGTTGATTAATTAGGATTTATTGGTGCAGCGTTTAGCAATAATAATCCCAGTGTGAAATTCTGCATAAGTTTTACAATTGTTTGGTTAGCCAAACAAGAAAAAAGTAATTTCCATATATTGTTAGAAAAAATAATAAATCCAATATCAATATCAACTTTATTATGTTGGAAATAGTAAGTTTTGCACTTTTTTTTTTCTGACAGTTATGTTGCAATTACTTTTTTCTTGTTTGGCTAACCAAACAATTGTATAACTTATGCAGAATGTCATGCTAAGATTATTCGCTACACCAGAAAATCCTAAAATAATAATTTTTCCAAAATTATTTAAAAATAACTTTCAGGGTCATTACAAAAATTGTCTTGTTCTAAATTATTTTCTGAAGTTTGGAAAATCAAAAAATTCTCTTCCATAGTTTCACCAAATATGATAGATGATCATACGGTATTTGAAAGGGACAAAAGCAGAAAATCTAGAGATGTGGAAAAGAAAGTCTATTTTTTAGCACATGTCCCAAATCCCCCATTAGTTATGTAAAATTCTTTCTTCTCATCCTCTCTTCTTTCCTTTCTTAAACTAATAACTTGAAAATAAGGTGGTTTAGATCAAATAGGCTGAGGTATATGGAAGAAAGCAAGTTCAAAACTAGAAAATGAAATCCTGCCCCATTTTGAATTTTTAAAATGTAAGCCTTGACCGCTCTCACCCACGATCATAAATAATTTGTGAATAGAGACCATTTCCTGTTTTAATTATAAGAGTCATAACTCATAACATGAGAACCTGTTTCTGTCTATAGTGGAGGCAGGTACAATTCTTTCGCGATTTGTAAATTGAGCAAGAGTGCAGCATGTTCAGATTCCTTAGAAATTAGCAAAATTAGAAATGAATTAATGGCAGATTAAACCAAGAATATCAAAAGACTATAAAATACTGAAGTAGGGAAGAAGTGTGGACCGTGACATTGAGACTGGAAACTTCCTGCCGATGTATAAGGACTAGTTTGATACTATGACACATGATCAAGCAGGATTAAGACCTTCATTACATGACTACTATTCTTAGTGCACTGTTTAGCTTCACACATAAAAGGAATGGTCAGTTTCAATAACTCTTCTTGTTTAATGTAGGGACCTTTCACTGAAGAGCCCTCTGGAGATTGGTAGAGAACAAAATGGCATGTATTTCTTGTGCTCAAGATGTCATACTTCCAGTTCTGTCAATGTTCCTACTGGATCAGTTTCTACTATTGCATCTAGTTCATCTAAACCTTATTTTCTTACTTCATCTGCTACTTCTTTTCTAAGTGTAATCCATGTAATTTTTCACATGCCACTTCTATGGTAAACACTTGTAATGCTACATCTGTAAGATCCACATGTTTGAGTAATAATATTGTGCTTCCTAATTGTGTTCATACTGCTAATGTTTCCAATTTGAGTAATTATGTCATGTCTCACGGAAATAGTATTGATCACTTGTGGCACAGTAGGCTAGGACATATCCCTTTTGTAAAAATGAAGGGTATTTCCAGTATTCCCATTGCTTTCTCACCCAAACAACCTTTCACATGCACTATATGCCTCATGGCTAGACAAGCTAGACTTCCTTTTCCAACCAAATCCATTGTTTCCAGCACTAACCCTTTTGATCTTCTTCATATGGACCTTGGGGACCTTATAATGTTTCAACTCACAACAATTACAAGTACTTCTTAACCATAGTTGATGACTTTAGTAGATTAACA